TATCGGTCGGCCGAGTAGGTTTATATAGAGTTAATAGAGCTATACAAACTCTTCCTATTTTTAAATTAGTATAAAAAATACGTATCTTCGAAAGGTTTTTACTAGATATTAGCTAAGCTTCGCAGCCTAAGGTATATAATATACAATATACGCTATACGGCAGTCTATAGAATTCTTTAAGATAGCGAATCCTTGCTTAAAATGCTTTAGGCTACTATTGCTTTCGCTAGCTATATAGGCGATAAGGAATATATATAATAGCTTAAATTCCTTTATAATACTTTGAATAATTTACTATTTCAAATAAATAAGCGCTTATACTATCTTTAGCGGAGGGTAATAGTTTAGATTCGGATATATCACTCCTATCTAGTAGAGCTGATATAAAGGCGTACCCTTCTTCTAGAGACAGCCCGAAGGTTAATAGAACAAAGCGAAGATATATTTAATTTATAGGTATAAGATATTATAAAAAAGAACCTATTATTATGTTAATATAAGGTAAGCAACTAACCCTCTACTTTATAAGTCTCCTAAGTAAGATCTTATTTTAAGCTAGCGATAGGTCTATTATATTATATAAGCGACGCGGTAGGTAAATAATAGCCCCCCGCGAATTTATAAGTACTATCCGTAACGCTTATAATTTAAAATATCTACTAAGATTGACGAACTACGACGTCTTTTAGTAGAGGAAAGGGAGAAGATATCTAAAACCAACCTTCCCGCTTCCCTTAACGGTATCTATAACCACTTCTTCTATAGTCTCACAATTTAGTAGGATAAGATACAATCTACGTATAGAGATCCCGCTAACGCGATTAATAAACTATGCCCTAGAAGACTTAAAGCCTATAACTCTTTTACAAAAGAATAAGAGGATATTTAGCGGTTACTAATAAATTCTTCGCTTATTAAAGCTAGACTATTTACTTCTCTTTATACCTTAGAAGAAACTAGAGAGATATCCGGCGGTAGCTTATTAGCTCGGAACTAGACCTTAATTACTTTCTTCGCCTAATCATAAAGAACTATATTAAAAGAACTCTATAGCGATCTAAGACTACGACAAACATTTAGGTTAAGAGGGTCGATACGCTTTAAGAACCACTCTAATATACTAAGCCCCGAGTAGGAACTTAAGAAGCGAATATAGAATATCGATATTCGTAGTCGGCTATAATAATATTCACCGCGTCTAGCTACCTAAGAATAAAGCGAACTAAGCACTATAGCGACCTATGGCCCGAGAACCCCGCCTCCCGCGCGAAGTAGCCGGCCTTATACCGATCAATTCTACGTCTATAACAACCCTAGCCAATCATCCGAATCGATCTATCGCGTCGTAGCTTATATTAAATAGTATAAATCTCCGTATAAGGTGATACTAGGCTATATCTATAAAGGGCTAGAGGATATAGATATTAATAAAGTAGTTAAGTAATAAGATAATAAGTCCCTAAAAATTTATATTCCGTCGCGCGATTACTAGACTTCTTATATAGCTATATAACTATATTATTCGTACTAGTACGGAAATTAAGGTACTAAGTACTAGCGAAGCTAATATTTATCTACGAATTAGAGAATCCCGGGACGCTTCTATACTACCTCTCTATTCTAAAAAGAGACGTTAGGGACTCACTAGCTAGAACCCTTAATTAACGGCCCAAATCGTCTATATTTAACCGCCGTAGGGCAATCTCTCGCTTTCACTCCCTAAAGATATAAGTTACGGCCTCGGAATTAAGCTTAGAGACAATAAGCAATCGACTTATTACTAAGATAGGAAGCGGTAGTCGTAGATATTCTAGGCAGTATCCTAGATAAGGAGGTACCGTCTTCTAAATATCGCCCTCTAAGAACGAATAGGTTACTTCGAATATCTCCGATACAACTACCCTAGGCGAAATAACCTAGTATTAGAGGTTGCTAACTAATAGAGACGTATAACGAGATATAGACGAGGCTAATCTAACCCTAATACGCCGAGCCGGGACCTATAGATATAGCGTAATATTAGACAGGGACAGCCAACGTCGATCAATATAGCACTAATACTAGCTACGTAAGGGTCGTTCTCGAGGGAGACGGAAAATCATCGGTATTACTATACGTTAAGGTATCTATATAGAATATTAAACGGAGGAGAGCTAGATCAACCTTACCCCAATATCCTTAACCATAGAAAAGGGCACCATATATAAATATAACCACTTTCCTCAAACGGTTACAACGTTAGTTGTTTTAGATAGTTAATATAGATTGTGAAGTACTAGATATATACGGTTCTCGGGGTACTCTTTTGAAAATTACGCTATCGTTATATAGATATACTATACCTACAAAATATATCGTACTAGAGTTTACAAAATAGTTTCGGTATAAAGCTACTATAAACGACAAACTCCGTTCAATCTAAGATATATATATACCTCTTTACCTTAGAAGCATCGACTTAGCTTAACCGTTCAACTACGACGGTATCGTATATCTTAAATATATGATATTATTAAGTCCGGGAGGACAGCCTATTAACCTAGTACTAAAGGAAATAAGTCGAGATTGCCTTAGTACTAAGATAAAGGAATCGCTCTTAGAAATGTACCTTCTATATATTCTTTATAAAGATCTAGCCCCGCGATATTAGCTATACAATCTAGAAAGTAAAAAGGTAGTTTTTTTGATTTTAAAAGGGCCGAGATTATTAAATCGCGATCTATCCTAGGGATAATATCACTATATCGCGAACGAAAGCGGATACTACGTAATAGAATTGATATTAAACAGAGTAGTATAGGAATTACGAGGTTAGAAGGTTTAAACGAGGATCTAGTAAACGTAGTTACGATTCTAGCGATCACACTAAGTAACCTAGATTATATTCGGAATCTTCGTATTAATAATTTTATCTATTTACGCTTCGTAGCTATCGGATTTTTTTTATTTTAAACTTAGATTAAAAACACTATTATCTAATAGCTAATTATATTCGAGGACTAATTATAGCCGTACGCGGATCAGATCTAATATATAATATAACTAATTCGTAAGACTTTCTACTATCGTTTCTAAATCTACTTAGCCTAGGCTTCCCGAATTCTAGATTGCTTAAGAGTAATACGAAGTTTATAAACTACTTAAAATACCCGTTTATTATTAAGTGGCCTTGCCTCTAGCTCGAAGTGATACTACAACGTTAACTCTTAGGAAATATTAATAATCGCCATTATTAAATTAAGAAGATTTTCGAAATAAGACCGATAAAACTAGTTCTTATTCTCTTATTAATCCCGTTAATAAATTCTTTCTTCCTTTAACTCTTAAAGTAATAGGCGGTTTCGTAACTTTAAGCACTTTAGACGCGTTCGGATAGTTTCTAATACTATAGTAGAACCTTGGGCTAGTACAATCTAATAATCTAGTGAATTTATTTCCGGTAGATTGTGTTAAAAAGGAAGTATTATTAGCATAGAACTCAACATATCTTTCGGAGATTCCGGTAAGCGACTGTAAATGCTTAAAGCATCATCTATAGACGGATGCTGCTTAGTCGCCTTTAGTAACATTTTAGACAAAATACGTGGCTATATACCTCCCCTTTATACCACGACTATCTTATATAGATATAAAGAGCTAGTCCCTAAGTAGGCGCTCTTTTCTACAGCGGTTACTAAAAGCTTTAAAATTCCTACACTTTAAAGGCTAAAGACTAACCTAGTGTCAATTTCCTGCGGGCCACTCACTTATTTTGACAAAGTTTCCAATTTTCACGGAGTGGTTAATTAAGAGAGTGGTTAATTGAGAGAGTGGTTAATTAAGAGAGTGGTTAATTAAGAGAGTAGTTAATTGAGAGAGTAGTTAATTGAGAGAGTGGTTAATTGAGAGAGTGGTTAATTAAAGAGTGGTCGATTGAAGAGTGGTTAATTGAGAGAGTGGTTGATTGGGAGAGTGGTTGATTAAAGAGTAGTCGATTAAAGAGTGGTCGATTGAAGAGTGGTCGATTGAAGAGTAGTTAGTAACGTCTTTATCGAATCAGCTAGACTAGTAATATAGACTTGACTATATTACCTATAAAGGTACAGCTCTGCTTTATAAAGTGATATATTTTAGACTTTCTACTATATCCTAACTTATAATTTTGTCTTTATAATATATATTCAATCTAAACATCGAAATTATACGTCTTAAAACTCCTTTCGTCCTTAGACTAGCCGCGTTAGCATCTGCTTTATGGTCAGTCACTTACTATATTACAACTGATTATTTAGGCGCGGGGAAAGAGGTTAGAGGTTACGAAGCGGGGTACTAGACCCTAGAGGACGGCACGGAATCGGTTATAGTCTCTACCGATAGTAATAATAATATTACCTTAAGTATAGGTAGCAATTATAACGCTCTTTACGGAGATAAAATTCTAAGCGGAGTAACCGACCTCTATATTAATACCGCTATCTATTCCTTTTTATCTTTTTAATCTTAAGTTATTTCCTATAGTACTATTCCTACCGCAATATACCTATAAATTAATACTATAAGATTTATTAAAGCCCTAAAAATACGCTTAATAGGTATTAATAAAGGCTTAGCTAATAGGCTAAGATAGGTTTCTATTTCTACTTATTACTTACTATATATATATAGTTCCTAGTTATATATATCTAGACTCCTTTACTAGCTTTTCTTATTTAAGATTATCGTAGCGATCTCTACCGGAGAAGCTAAGGAAAGCTATACTCATAGTTAGTTTTATTTTATCCTTTTCTTATTATACTTTAGTATTATACCTAAATTTTTATTAAGGGGTTAGTTATCTTATTATAGGCTATAACGATTAGTCACTAAGACTATTTACCGACTATAAATAGTACGTATATCCTCTTCCTTATCGATAATATACTCTTTTTAAAGCTTATTAGGTCGGGTTATCCTATTAGATATAACCTTACTACTCTCTTAATATATACTTTATCCTTTCTTTTATACTAAGTCTAGTATAGCTAGCTAACGCTACCTATATTCTCTCCTTAGATAAGATTAAATCGACTAATATTACTACTCGTAACGTTAACGGATATCGTTCCGTAGTATACTTTATAAACTAGATATAAGCTTAAACTATAATATTCTACTATAAAATCAAAATAACTTATTAAAGTCTATTAGAATATCTATACTCGTAACTTTTAGCCTTAGGATATTCCCGCTAAGAAACTAATCTATATTCTCTACGTATTTGCTAACGTCCGAGCCTCTAGTAAAGTGATCCTATCGGACCCTTAATCAGATACCGATAAGTACTACCCTACTAATTCCTAGACCGATACCGGTAATAATATCTATAGCTATATTAAAGAGCTTTTTCTACTTAAAAAGAAAAACCGTAAACTTAAGGTTCTTCTATCGATTAGAGGCTAGGCGTATTCTTCTAACCTTAGGCTAGCCTTTAAGACTAAAGGGAGACGCTAGAAGTTTGCTAATAGTTCCGTCGAGCTACTAAAGGACTTAGGCTTCGACGGTATTAATATTAATTTTAAAGTAAGTTTACTATCTCGTTTATAATATTTAATGCTAATATTAGATAGTATCCTAGAAATAATAACGGAGCGGACTAATTTGTTAATACCCTACGCCGTCTTCGTAAGGTATTTTTATACTTCTTTTATTAATAGGTCTATAAAACTAAAAATTTTTAGGCCTTAGATTTATATAGTTCTACTAACGTAGACGGCTATTATTTCTTACTTACTACTTTATCTCCTACTAGTCCGTATTATTCGTTTAAACTTCTTAATAAAGCTAACTAATTACCTAAAAGAGTATCTTGCCTAAATAGATTAGTATCTAGACTTCTAGAACCTAATAGCCTATAATTACGCCGGAAGCTAGGATACCGTTGCCGGCTATAGCGCTAATCTATATATATCTAATAGCAACCTAGCTAACACTCTATTTAATACGGACTAAGTAATTGATTACTATACCTCGTACGGAGTAGCCTCTTATAATATTATTCTAGGTATACCTCTATATAGCCGGGCCTTTACTAATACTAGCGGCCTTAGCTAACCTTATAACGGTGTTAGTATTAGTAGCTAGGCGGATGGTATATAGGACTATAAAGCTCTATCTTAAACCGGTTATAAGGTCGTAAATCTAGACTAGGAAGCTGCTAGCTACTACTATAACTCGGGGTCGCGTTTGTTTATTAGCTATAATATCCTAGAGATTACGCGTAAAAATAGTAAGTATATTAAATTTAAGGGCCTTAGTAGTAGTATATAGTCGGAGCTTAGCGGTAATAAGTAAGGTAATAATAGTTTGATTTCTATAGTATGTTTTATATTCTATATACATTTTATTATCTTACTTACTTTAAACTTATAGGTTGTAAGTACTCTTAGAGGTACTAGTGCTCTAGATAAGAGCGATAATTAGTTAAACTATCTTATTTCTAAATACGATAATTTGAAGGCCTACTTTTAGCCTTTATTAACTTACGTACTTAATAATTAATTAAAGGCTAGTAGCTAGTATATTATATCTAAAGTAGATATAATAAATTCGCCTTCGTACTTATCTACTAGCACTCTATCTACTACTAGGATTAAGTTTTAACTAATATAAGATTAAATAAAACTATTAATATAGTTATAACCCGTATTACCTTTTATAATAGAAATATAAACTTACTTTCTTAAATACCTTTTAATATCTACTTTAAATTTTATATTGTTAGTATAATAATATATTTTAGCTTAAAGGTTTATCCTACGCTATAATTTCTATAAGCAGAGGAGATTACAATAAATAATATAAGAAACGCCTATATACTAGCTAAGGGAATCGGACTATTTGTACTAAGAAGGATAAGTTGAGATATCTTAATATTGATAGAATTTTGAAATAGATTATAAAGAAGTTGGTTAAGTATAGTAGTAGTAGTAGTAGTAGATTATTTTATTTATACTATCCCCTCGCGAGTTGATTTAACTACTAGACTAAAATACGAATCTATACCTAGCTTAGTAGGTTGTGGTTTAGAATATAACTTCGCGAATAATATATAGGATACGATAATTATATATCTTTAGTTATATATATATAGAGAGATCTACTTCCTAATACTAACTTAGAGCCTCGTTACGGCCTTTCGTGGCAAACTACCGCTTTAATTGTTAGGCTGCCCTTATAGCGCACGACTACGAAACCGCTATAACGCCTCGGAGAAGTCTAATACGGCTTAAATCGTCTTTACCCTCGAGACGGTATTTAGTTTACCTTTCTCCCTTCGTTTAAGCCTCCTACTCTATAAAGGCTTAAAAAGACCTATAATAGTACTATATAAAATACGTTGTAGATAAAGATAAAGTGCTTCTATATATTAGTTCTTTATATTATACTTTAATATAAAACGGGATTTAAGAAATACTTATTTACCTCCTATATGATGTATACGTATAGCTTCAACTATATAGGGCAAGATATAGTGTGAAAAGTTTCTAGTATATTATACTAAACCTAATAAACTCTAATTAACTAGCCTGTGGCTCGTACTGGTAGTGTAGTTCTATCTATATCAGATGACTATAGATTTATAAGAGCATTTATATGCCGGGGTAGACGTGAGAGTGGGCGAGTGATCTATAAGGGGTGTCCTAGTAGCCGATTTACCGGCTGAAATTGAAGCCAAAGATGAACTGTCTGTAGGCGTCGACGTGAATATCGGAGTTGGAGATTGATTAGCACGGGCTGTTTTAGAAGTGGACGTGCCGATTGTAGTTAAGAACGAGGATTGACTGCTTATAGAGATCTAAGAGGAACCTTTATTACTAATGCTATACCTACTAGGTACCTTAAGACTATTTTCTAGTATATAACTAGACGTGTCTCCCTATCGGTTGAGGAAAGATATAGTGCCGTTTTTGTTAACTATCACCTAGGCAACCCGCTCTCTATTTTTAGTGCTATATATATCAACTTTTACCGACTTATTGTCGGAACCGGTACTAATAAAACCTAAGGAGTGTTAATAATAATATAAGGGCCTTCGATTTAAATTGGATACTTACCTAAGCAATCTTTGCTTTTTAGTTTAGTAAAGGTTACTGAGTAGCCTATATAGCCGTGGTTATTCTAAGACCATACTCTATAGTTGTTCTCGCTGTTATTGTCTTTAATAATAGCTAAATAACTGCCTGCTACAACATTTCCGATAAAGAAAAGGTAATTGAAAGAATATATCCTAGACTATATACGACTTTAAGGCAAGTAAGTGCGATGATAATAACGACTAGCTGGGGCCGAGAATTATTTATATTCGAGACTGAATTATTTATAGCGACAAAATCACTTTTACTAACCCTCTTAAACGAAGAAAAAAAAGGGGTAGGGGAAGGCACTTAGTTATAGTAGTGTTCTTTTAGTATAATTCTTAGTAGTATAGTAGATAGGCCGATTGATTAGAAGCGGGCTATTAACTTATATGCCGACCGGTAGTAGCACTTCTAATCTACGTAATTTGTCCGAACTAACTTATAGTACTTAAATTAGATATTGTTTAACTTACCTTAGGGAAGTTCGTAAATTGTGCGCTAAGAGCGGGAACGAAGCTATAGTAGATAATAAGGAGAAAAGTACTAGCTTTAGAAAAGAGGTAAGAATACTATCTAGTATATTGTAGATTGAAGAGCAAAGCGGGGGTAGGTTATCTAAGTTATAGTTGTTAAAGAATATACGATAAGGCGACCCTAGGAAGCAATTCAACTATATTTAACTACTATAGCTAGGCCTATAATTTCTAATTGCCCCTAGTATATTTTCTTATTACTTACTAATTATTTGCCTTATAAAGCCTATTTTATCTTATTACTATATTCTTAGTATATATTTAATATTTAATACTTACTTTATTTCGAAGGTATAAAGAACCGTCTGTAAATTTAGTGTCTTTAGGTATTTATATTAAACTAGAAATATAATATATTGGGTTCTTTATAATAAGAATGAGGTATCTAACTTGTTTCGACGCTAGATAGCTTCTGTAATGGCTCTTATTAATTGAACTATTCTTATATTGTATTACTGTGCGGTTAATAAGCTAAGGGCAGATAAATCCTAGAACGCGGTTAAAGTTAAGTACGGTTAAACCTAACGGTCTAGATTATCTTAATTTAAAGACTATAACTATATACTAATAGACCCCTAAGAGTCGAGGCTAGTTAAGCTTAGGTGTTATTAGGTTTAATTACGGTTTACGTCGTAAAGGCTAAAGTATATAATTAATTAGTGGTATCTTAGACCTAGTAAGTAGTTATTTTTATTCTATATCGTAACTATTTTAATAGATAGCTACGTACTACCCTAGTTATACTTAGGTTAATTAACGACTAGAAAAAGTCCTTATATAACCTATTTAACGTCTATTCCCTAATAGCCCTATTCTTACTAACTTTAATTCGAAGTTATAGCGGTAGAGACTTAATTAAAATAAGCTCGCTTACTAGTATAGGTAATATATCGAGGAATTCCTTCGCTATTATAACGAGTTTGTGGGTCCTAGGAGGATTATAGATCTGCTTAGTCTATAATATATATAAGGGAAAACCTCCGGTACTCTACCTTGCCTTTTACTATATATATATATATATATATGTATAATAGAGAAAGAAGGTGAGATATAATATAGCTTGCCTAATAACTGGGGTATTTGCTAACCTTATTAGAGAAATATACTTAGCTTCGTCTCGTAGTAATGTATTTGCTGTACTAGTAAAGACGCTTAGTATATAAAAGTTAGAGCTATAAAGCACTAACTTATATTATAGTTCGCGATAATTTTGATGTTCCTACTTCCTTCGAAGCGATATATCTATATTTATACTATATATAAAGAATATGTTTAGGCGCGATAATTTGTGTTTCCGGACGAATAAATAAGTATTATTAGGAAGGCTAGAGTCTAGTCGAAATTATTTACGCTAATTCTTTAGAGAAAGTAAAGCTAGTATCTTTAGCTACTAAGTATAGAATACTAAGAGATTAATTAACTAATAATAGATAGCGGAGAAGTCCGTCTTAGTATCTATATAGATATATTTTTATTATAAGATATTTGTTATTACCTACCTATTTGTTTATAGAGCTGCTTGTACTCTGCTCTATACGCGGCGGTTTTTAGTAATTTAGATGATATTATTATATTAAATATATTAGCGATTAATCCTATTATAACGCTACGTTATAGCTGTAGTAAGTATAACTAGGCGTAGTATTTAGGAAACTATTAGAATTATACTTCGTCTTCTTCGACGGCTAAAACAGTCTACTATAAATCGGTCTTAAATAGGCCTACTAGAGAAAAACTAGATATATAGCGTCTACTATTACTTATATATAAATAGATATTTTGATATACTTAAGGTAAATAAGCAATATCTATCTAGATAGTATATAGGAAGGGTTAAACGCTAAGGATTATACGGTATAGTATTAACAGCTGCTATACGATATATAATATTACGGAGGTATAAGATATAGCGCGTAGGGTTAGTCTTAGAGGATATAATAGTTGAATTATATAACTCTTCGAATTATTAGCCCTTTTAGGTTATCGCCTAGGCTGCCGCTTATCTTCTTATCTAGTAGTTAGACGCGCTCGAAATTAGTTTTATTAGATTTTATACTACTATATTAGGATATTGCTAATAATAGGTATATATCTTTAGATAATTAAGTAGAATAGATTAAGGATACTATAATTAGAGTTTAATAAAATAATAAAGAGTATAACCGCTATATATTCTTAAATAAAAAATCTAGTAAAGAGGGGCGTATCTATAATCTCTCGTTTATACTATTTAAGTCGATCGTTAGCCGGCGGCATTCTAAAATAGCTAGTTGCTCTAACGTATAGATTAAATGGCGAGTTTCTATACAGAAGCTTCTAGATAGGTAGATTAGAGGCGACGGTAACTAGGACCTCTAAGGTTCTTCGTATAGGACTTGTGGCGGAGGTGCCCCCTAGCGGGAGGCCTTAGATATGGGTTCTTTGTATAAAGTGATATTTCTATAATAGGTAGTTTATCTATACCTTAATTTACGCGGAACTGCCTAAAGTATATCCTAGATTTTTCCTTCTAAGATATCTACCGGTGCTAGTAAAACCGAGAGAGAGAATTCTTCTTTTCGATATAAACTAGGTAAGCTTACCGGTCTTAGAGACCTTAGTTCTAGATATATTAGTGATAGATAATCCTCCGAATAAGGATAATAGCGGAAGGTAAGTTAATATAAGAATCGGTATAGTAAAAATTAGGAAAGGAATTCGGTAGGAACCTCTATAGCGGGTTTATTTAAATATAGTCTTCTATTTAACGGTATTATAGGCTTATCCGCTAATACCCTTATTAATAGTTCTCTACTAGATACAACCTAAC